CGCCGGGGGGCCGTCGGAGAACATGCAGCTCGGCAGCGCCGCCGCCGCCGGCAGCTGCTCCCCGCGCTGCGTCATCGGGGCCTCGAACGGCGATCAGCACCAGTCACAACGCACCGGCTCTCTGCGCAACAAAACACATATTCCTGCAAGACCGAGATGTAGCACAGTTACACACAGTCGGTTTTCGGCGAGTAGCGAGCGACCGCTCGCCCAATACCCAGTGTGGATGGGTTGCTTGCTTTTTGTCGAGTGACGAACGTTCGGATCTCGTCGTATCCACCGCGTGTCGGTCTTTTGCACACATGAAAGGAAGGGAACATTTGCCGAGCACATCAGCAACTAGGGATTGGGCGAGCGGTCACAACTTGGCGAATGCCGAATGTGTGGATCCGCCTTTAGATTTAGCATTGGTGATTATGGTTGTCCCACTCATCAGCACCAATTATTACCGTGAATGAGCGAGGGGGCTTACGCGTTCGTCCGGGCAGGAAGTTGTAAAAGTTGTGTGCCTTTATTCCCCGCCATATAATGACAGGAGGGATGGCTTAAGTTGGGTTGATGAACAGATGGGATATGTGTATGGAAGTATACGCTAACCATGCCTCAAACACATAGTGAATGTACCCATTCCTTTAGGAGAATTCGAAACCGCATCCCTCAGTTCCGGTGCGTGTTCGATCCCCTGCGTCACCAACGGTGGCATTTCACTTACGTTACAATATTAACTCTCATTCCATAACGAAATTAAAGGTAAAATAGGCATATCAAAAACATTCTACAAATAGAGTTGTAGTCTGCTCTGTAAATTGCTATAGGCATTCGAGATTTTAACAGAGAGATGGTCTTCAAAAATATAGTCCAACGAAAGTCCGGATCACAGAAAACGATGAAGGCGTTGACTTTCAGAACAGAGTGTGTAAGGTACCATAAGGCACTGGAGCACACGAGATGACTGTCAAGCACGACGGTTGGATGCATGAGATGCCGAATTATATAGATCCATTTGCAGCACAACATGTACTTCTACTAGGCAATTCTTGAAAGCAAGAACCTCTTGCTAACTGTTTTGCAAACGTTCCCACTTTGGAAAAAACGAGCCTGAAACATGTTTCAGAAAATATTATGTGTTTATGTCACTGCATTGTCAACATAACATTCTCAACATAACTTTCATGTTCAGTTACTCACCGAATTAGTCATTGGACCCATGAAGAGTAAAATTTGCCTCCCGCTTACTAAGCAGTTCTCTGATTCGCCCGTTGCCGCGTCATGTTCGTGTCTCGCCATTTTAACATCTGCTGATCTCTCGATCTTTCTCCTTTGATGACCAATATTTCTTTTGATATCGATGTAAATATAAATTATCAAGTCCGTTATCCACTGCATTTAGAATGGTCCGACGTAGGTCCAAGATTGTAAGTATTTTTCACTCTTGTGTTAATGTATTAAGAGAACATTGTGCTCTTTTAAGTGCTAAATAGCAATATTACGATTTTTTGACAAACACTGGAAATGTCAAGTTGTCATGAGAAGAGGGTAATGAGCGCATAGTTGTGCAGCGTTCACTGCGAAGAGAGTTTTTTTTAACGCTCTGTTCAAACAGTATGCTCCCAAAATACGGGGATTAATATTGGGTCCTGTTTTGTGGAGGGAAAATGTGAAGAAGAATCTCAAGAAGGTATTTATTGTAATAACTATAGGCCTGCGCAGGCTAAAACAACATGGTGTCAACTACGTTTCTGGGCTCCCTTTTACATTGAACTTTTTTATATCTACATATGACATATTGAGTAAATACAAAAATATAGTGAGATAGTGACTTATAGTAATAACAATAACGTAGTAATCACAATAATACAGTGAGTAAATAAAAAAATACTAGAAAGATAATTAAATTATAACTTCATATTTTAATGTTCATTAGTACAATAGTAGTAAATACAAAGAGTATTTACAGAACTGCCAGACGTGGAGAGCCCCCTCCGCAAATGTCGTAACACAAAATCCCTAATTTATTGAGTTCCACAAATTAATGTAAATTATTGTGAAACATTATCCTAATTAACTATTTCATGTTAGTATATTTTTAAATGTCTTTACTTATGCACAAAATAATAAGTGATACAAACTGTTTGTAAAGCGATCTATATAATAATAAAAATTTTAAAAAATCCTAACAGTTTATAAGGGGAAAATCAGTAATTGGAAATATTTACGGAAATAAAATGTTTTATAACGTACAGCCAGGGGGCCCCTTTGAAAATATTTTGGGGTCGCGGCTTCCCAACCCCCTCCCCGCACGACAATCTACTGTTTCTTTCGTTGAGGACTAATGACCTTAGCAGTTCACGCGTCCGGAATAACTAATTAATCAATCAAACTTTCGGAAAACACTTCAGGTGAGACCAGAAAACTGTTGATCCTACAGACTTACAAAGGGATGAAATAAATAATTAACGAACAACTAGTTTATTAAAAAAGGTAAAAATCTCTTCTTATGAATAGAGTGGTATTTTTGTTGCTTTTTACGGTACGTAACTCGACACACGTGCCAGTCACGGTATTTGTAGGGAATGACCCCCGGATCACCTACGCGTGCATGAACACGTGGAGCCACGAAATCACACCATCATGGGATGTCATATACAAGTCACATCATTGTATCGTTTCGAACATTCGTTGCTGTACATTAATTTCATTACAGAAACATTCATGCGTTTCTCAAGTAATTGTTGTCTATTTAAAACGCTGTGCATTCATGAAAATTCTGTGTTCTGCTTCTGTCATATTCAGACATTAAATTATGTACCTATACTTTACACTTAATTACGAAAACCTACTCATATTTTCGATCTAATTTCAATATCGGTCTTTAAAGAATAGATTTCATTAAGAAAACCATCTCTATCTTTGATATTGTAACTGTAAAAATTTGAACTTTTGCAATTTTCGAAAAATCAAATACTTTAATGATAATGAGACCTGTACCATTATATTAGTTACTATTAAGCGTCCACTACACTATCCGAGGTCAAACAAATTTTAAAAACTTTGAAGCCATTTTGAGAGAACATCGAAAATGTTGAGGCTTTATATAAAGTACCCCGAAAAATCAATATATTCGTTTGAAGCTCAGAGAGCCTGAAATTCAATTGGACTATTAATTTTGAAGAAAATCGGCTGAACGGTTTATGCGCTAGCGTTGACCACAGACAGATGGACGTTTTGTCGTCAATAAATTTTTGGGTATCAACTACCCACAAAACAAGAATTCTAACTAAATATTGTGTGTTAGAGGTAAGTAATTTACTATGTATAAGAACATTAATCCATTTTTTAGTTACCAGGACCTTACAATAAGAGTTGTGTCGACAATTCACTCTATTCTGGCTCATGATTACAATACTTTCTCTTCTTACAAAGTTAGGGCAAAAAAGTAATTGAGCCCTTAAGTTCAGATTTGTCTGCTGT